GCACATCTAAAGATAATTAAATATTTATAGATGTATACATGGGTTTGATTTAATATGCTGAATTTACGATGATTTCTCAACTTTCATGTTGTTTAAATTTGTGCCTACATGACTGTAAAGCCAAATGTTATATGTTTTGTCAACATTTTATGACTAATTACCGATTCATATAATTGGATTTGATCACATGTAAATCAACTTGAAAACAGTCAGATTTTAAATTCAGAATTGTAAAATCTGCTGGAATTAATTTTCTTGATTAAAACAGTTTTAAGTATAATATAATATAATATAATATAATATAATATAATATAATATAATATAATATAATATAATATAATATAATATAATATAATATAATATATTACACATTTTAGAAGGGAAGTCTTGTACTAACTTCACCAATCTAATTATCATCTTGAGGTTTGCACATCTAAAGATAATTAAATATTTATAGGTGTATACATGGGTTTGATTTAATATGCTGAATTTACGATGATTTCTCAACTTTCTATTTGAAAATTCATGTAGTGGTATATCCAGATTGATTGGCATTATAATTTATTCTTCAGGACTGAACACTCCTCAGTGAATTCTCCTGGTCCACCCTTCGTTCCTAATTCACCTTCTGACGTCAGTGTGGGAAGTTTGGTAAAATTCTCCAGGCCAGGTGGTAGGATAAGTAATGGATTGGTGAAATTCAAGGGATATCTACCGGGAAGATCAGGAATATTCCTTGGAGTGGAAATGCAACACGAAAGTAGGTGTAAACAAAAATTTCTGTTTGATAGCTCTTTATTTTATCCAATGTAAAAAAACAAAACAGTGGCTCTGTTTCTGGTCCATGAGAGCTTTAGAAAAATGATGCTATATGCATGTTTTTATGATGTCATAATTGGATTGCTGAATACATTCAAAGTAAAATATAGTGGGCCCTGGAACTAGCATTTTATCATTTGAGATACATCAAGTGACAGCATAATTTCTAATATGATGTACTTGGTAGTAGTATAATTATGTTACTAAACAATCCCATACGCACCACTACAGCACACATGCTCACTGACTGGTATAATATATTTTTTTATGAATAAATAGACTGACAAACAAATAAATCAATACTTAAATGAATATGTGATTTAAATATAAATATTATTAGTATATACAAAATTAATTGGATTTCATAATTTTATTTTCAGATGGAAAGCATGATGGTGTTTTCAATGAAGAGAGATACTTCAAATGTCGTGCAAACAAAGGAATTTTCATCAGCTACCAAAAAGTCATCTTAGTCAGAGGAAACTGAAATTCTGTTATTAAGTTTTTGTAATTTGGAGGTCTATATATTTTACTAGCACTATTTCACTTCTTATTGGTTAACACCATTGGTCACCTCCTGAAATCTTCTGTGGATAGCCGATACAAGGATAAGATGTTACCAGGTGATATTTTAAAATGACAGACACATTGTAGTCACTCACAATCAAGAACAAAAATTTAAGTTTAATCCTTTTCTTATATTTACTAATAGTTATTGCTGAACATTAAATACAAACAATTGTTATGGCAATAATGTAATTGTTGCACAATTATTTCACCCACAATGCATCATTCAAAATGGCTCTATCTAGATCTTTATTTTTGTATTCCTCCCTTTGTGTTACTTTAATTTATTCATTACATTTGGTTTAGTTTTATCCTCATTTTGTGCAATATATCACTCTAAATACTTTACAATAGCTGAGATTTTGAACATTTTCCTTTTTGGCGTATATGCTATGCTTTCAGTGATCACATTTTGGCGATAACACTAACAATAAATGTTTTATGAAAAATAAAAAATCAGTGAAAAAGATTGATAGTTACATCTATTGATGCTTTAATAACCAATATACAAATACATAACTACTAATTTTTAATTCCATGTTGAAATTATGTAATCTTACAGTCTTGTAAATAAACTTAGTTGTAAATATAATTTCTATTTTTGCGAACAAAATAAAAATGCAATGATGATCAATTACATCATCCAATAGTTTTATTTTTGAGTGTGTGAAAGAAACATGCGAATCCTAAAAGTAAATGGTGAATGTTGAAATGTATTCTAAAATGTATTACTGAGAATTTTGAGTGTTTCACTATGATGAAGAAAAGTTATAGCAGCTTAAAATGAATGTGGCTAACACAAAGTGATGAAACTTTTCTGATTTTTGACTCCCGTG